AAGTTACAAGTAAACACTCACCTTTGTATCTATTGTATAGTTGTTCTAACTTCTTCCTGTCCAATGATCCTTTTACACTCTCTCGTATATAAAGTTCAGGATTTTGGAAAAAATTGTCTGTTGCAACATCTAACTTCCAGTCATTTTGAGACAGGCAACTTACTGCTGTTTTTTCACTAGATTGTGTGAAGATCATAAACTGACGAACTTTATCCTTCTGCGATGATTTCAACTTGTTCTATTGAAACCAGAAAATAAACTGAAACACTATGTAAAAATCACAGAACACTAAAGTGGTATTCCTATATGCCTGACTAATCACTCAGCAATACTTTTTCCTCATAAATTATTAAAACATTTTAGTTCAAGATTTATTTTTGATCTACTATTAATCAGAAAGACAAGTTTTTAAGAAATCTAAAACACAAAATTTAGTATCATTTTGGAAAAGAAACTAGGATAGAGGCAAAGGAAGTTCAACCATCCTGCATTTCTTCTAAAAGTAGATCCTGAGAGCACTATAAAGGCTGTAGAAGGGAAGTATAGCTACTCTCAAAACCTTGACCAAGCACAAAATTCTAAAACAGCGGTTCTCAACCTGTGGGTTGCGACCCCTTTGGGGGTCGAACAACCCTTTCACAGGGGTTGCCTAAGATCATCAGAAAACACATATATAATTACATATTGTTTTTGTGATTAATCACTATGCTTTAATTATGTTCAATTTGTAACAATGAAATTGGGGGTCACCACAACATGAGGAACTGTATTAAAGGGTCATGGCATTAGGAAGGTTGAGAACCACTGTTCTAAAGGGATATACATATAAAGACTGGTGGGGAAGGTGACATTATCTAGCCAGCCAGAACAGGCAAATGACCCTGGATAACAATGCAATTAACAGGTGTCTGTTGCAGTCCTAAAACCCACTATAAAAAACATAGGATACAATTCTCCTCCCAACCCTACCCCTTGTTTTCTTGCTATTTTATAGCAAATGTGAGAAAGTAACAGAGTATGAGTAGCTTCTATTTCTCCTGGTGGTGTTCAGAAACCAAGATAATTACCAATAAAATTTCATATTTTCATTCAAATCAGAAGCCCTGAAATATAAACATGCATCCTTCCAACAAAGGTAAACAGGATTCTCCCTTTTCCCCCCTGAAAGAACCACCTTTTTCCCCTAGCCAGAGCCTAGCATAGCCTCTCTCCAAAATGCCTCTCTACTGTAATAATAACCTTTTCTCACTTGCCTTATGTTGATACTGATTCATTTCTCATCTGGCCTGAACCCTAAGCAAAATGAAACAAGGCAATTAGGCCCTGCACTCTCTCCCACTATTACGGACCATGTTCTCCCTCCTCTCCCACCCAAGCTAGTCTCCTATGGAATGTCAGCCTCTCCACTATCATTCTTGTCTCCCAACACCATCTCTCAGCAAAATACTTGGGTTAGCCCTGGTCAGTGTGGTTAGGGTGGCTGGAGCGTCATCCCATACACCAAAAGGTGTAGGGTTCAATTCCCGGTCAGGGCAGATAGCCTGGGTTGTAGGCTGGATCACCAGTCTGGTGTGTATGGGAGGCAATAGATCAATGTTTGTTTCTTTCTTTCTCTCTCTGCCTCCCCTTCCTCGCTCTCTTAAAAAAAAAAAAAAATCGAAAAAAAATTTTAAACTTGGGTTTTTCCTGAGCTTCTACAGCAAACGAAGGAGGGAACAGGATGTATGTATGGCATACATTAATAGATACAGAGTCCTGTGGTATAAGCAACCATCTGAGAACCCCAGAATCTTTTATCTGACAGATCACAAACTTCAACCCCCTGATTGTACAGATGAGAAAACAGACCCAGAAGTTTAAAGAATTAGTTCAAAACTTATCCAGGTTATTTTTAGTGGAAATGGGCCAAGAACAGAAAGGTCTTATAAATCCAAATCATAGTAATCTTATATAAACCACATTACTTGTTGTACAGATTTATAAGCCTTTTGAAATTTTCAGGAAAAAGACTACCAAAAATATAGGTCCTATCCCAAAGTAAAAATAACACTATACAAAAATCAAACATAAAAAACGTTTATGCCCTGGAGTATGACCTGCCAGCCATACTCCTCTCTGTAAATATGCTATTGCTTAATATTACAGATTAAAATCTCAACCTCTGTTCATTAAATTTGAGGAACTATAACTCCACTAACCTTCTGTTACTTCACTAATAACTACCACCTCTGGACACTAGTAACTCATATCCCATTATACAATACATCTCTTAAATGTCTAAGATTCTTCCATTTTGAAAAGTGATTCTTCAAGACATAATTCAATTGCAACAAACCCACAATGAAATCAAATCCCAAGGAAGATTCCTGTCTTATTTAATATACTGTTTAATTAAAAGGAAGCCACTTTGATTTCAATTTTTGTTAGTAAAAAACTTTTTAATTTCTATACCTTTCTCCCTGGGAAGATACAGAATCCTAACATGTTTCAATCCTTCTTTGAAGAACAGGGAAGTATTGAGGGTCCCTATGGCCATCAGTGACCACTGTATAATGTATAAGGTGTCGGAGATTAACTGAGAATAGTAACTACTGGCCACACCCTGGAAATTATTTTTTAATTAAACCTGATACAACTTCTTCTGTATAACTTTCCCCCCATTCTCCTTATTGTTGTTGGAGGCAGCAAAACAATCAGGATTATTTGGGGTTTCATCATCAAGTATTAAATCCAATGCACTGTTCCCTGGAACTTGAACCACTTTTGTTGAAGAGAAGGAAAAACACAGCTTAAGTCAATTCTGCAAGCCAAACAGAGCTGTTCACTCTCCTAATGACTTCCTGTCAGAGAGCAAGGTATTAGAAAGTTGGGGGAACAAAGATAAAAAAATCATCTTACCCACACGAACTAATAACATTATACATTTATTTACAATTACTTAATTCCAGGTCATATTTTATTTGAAAAAAAGTGTATGTATTAAATAATATCTATATATACACATAAACTATTTAACTGGTTTAAATTTCCAGCATATGGGCAATATAAATATATTTTCAGAAAAAAGGCTGCAGCTACCCATTTCTATCACCATAAAAGCTAATGAGTGATACCTGGTAGAGAACTGATAATATAGGTTCCTGCGAGGCCAAGTAGTAATAAGCAATCCCATTCCTGCAAAGTCTGATCAGTATCCTCTGCCTCCTTCTTGGATTTATCACATACACTTATCATTTCTCTATTTACTCTCTGTACCTAGAATAAATCTTAACACCTGTTGTCCTACTGAAGAGGATGTACTCAATTCTGTGATCTCAAACGCTGTCCTAGGGTAAAGCTGGAGTGGACTACATTGACCTGCCCTTCTCCCAAGCCTATATATGAGAGCTGTAACACTCGCACCTCCTTTTCCCCAGCCATATGGGGGCACCAGGCAAGGTGTTTTGAGAGTATGGTACCATACTCTGGTTTCTCTTCAGATCGCATAAATCTTTCGCCTTTTACTAAAGAGAGTATGGTACCAAAGGCTGTAATTTTTATCAACTTAAGGAAGAGAAAAAGGGTATCTAGCCAGCAAATAATTATTTTATACGAGATGAGAGGATGGACAGAAAACTGAAGTGGAAAAGAAACAGATGGATGTTTTCTATTTCTACTATAAACCCAGTGGGGAATCTTCCTAAGACCAAAAACATATGACAACTACAATGACTCAGCACTCAACTGTAGTACATGCCACTTACTTTAAGATCTACTTAAAAAAAACTACAGTGGTCACTAAATAAAATTAGGCAATACAATATTCAGTACTCAAATGTAAAAACTATCTAGATATTAAGTTTTCAAGGAAATTCAATAGTGGTATGTAAAATGTATAAAATACAGGATATATTCTGATTATTTTTTATTTTAGAAAAATAAAAGGAGAAAGGAGGAGGAAGAGGAAGAGAAAGAAACGAGGGAGGAAAGGAATGCTGTCTCTTGTAATAGAAGGCTACTTACAACTGTATTGAAGATTACCAACATTAGAAGTACTACTATAATCTGGACAATAAAAAGCACTTATTTGTTCATCTTGCCAAAATAAAAATAAAAAATGGTTGTTAATACATATTATCTAATACTTAAATCTATCACATGCTTGTAACTTTTTTCACTCAAGAAATGTAAAAATAACATTTAAAATAATAGATTATCTAGGAAAAAAATCACACAAATACTTTGAATGTAGCCAAGAATCATGTAAGTAGTCAAGTATTTTTTACCACTGAATCTACAAAGTCCACTGTGATAAAATATGGACTCAAGAAACGCTCTATGGTAAGAAAATAATAATGACCATAAAGTTAAATTTCTCACGTAAGTATTTCTCTCAAGAAAAATAATAAACATGGTAAATGATTTTCTAGTTAACTAAGTCCTGACAATTTGAAATGAAATAATTTTAACGGGTAAGTGATATTTTTAAAAGCTAAATATTAAGACACATTTTATTATTTGTATTATTCTAAATCTTCATCTTCTCACCCTTGACTTAATTCTAGTTATCTCAGGAGTTGATGAATATAGCTCACAAAAGGCAACATTTTAAAAATCAAAACACTGTAATGACCACTCATAATTCTCACTAAAAGCTCTATATGTTGATTCTGTGGTTTCCATATGATTAACAGTTTAACTTCATCTGAAACTTAAGAACTAGTTTAAGTCCAGAAAATGATACTTTTCATATATGATACATAGTATTCAATAGTTAAAGCCAAGTTTTAAAATATCCCAAACCACCCATCTATAAAAAAAACTTCCCATAGATTAAAGGTCTGAAATCAAAAGTGCAGGAAAATAATCAATTCAACTAACAAGCACAGTTCTGCAAGAAAGCCAGGCTAAGAATCTGAGGAATAGCTAGAAATCCTATTCCCTTTCACCTGTACAGAGGAGGTATATGGTTAGTGAAGAGTGCAGACTCTCAAGCCAGACAGGCAGCATTTCAATCCTACCTGTGCCTCTTAATTGCTGTGTGATTTTGGGAAAATTAATCTCTGATCTCTGTGTGCTTCAATTTCTTCATCTGTAAACAGGGTGTGAAGGTTACATTAATTCAGGTTAAACTCTAAGAAATGTAACTAGCACATAGTAAGTCCTCTTTACAAGTGCATGACCAAAGAATAATAAATACTCCAGAGAAAAAAAGTTATTCTATGTAAACAGTAAAGTAAGAAAGATAATAACTATAATCAGAAAATTAGCAGCTAATATTTATTTGAACTCCTACTGTGTGCCAACTATGCAAGGTGGTTATCTTTGATTCCATTTTACAAACGAGGAAACCAGGCCTCAGAGCTCAATTTATCTAAGGACACAGACCTGTCTAAAAAGCAACAGAGCCTGGTGCCTAACTTCAAGGCATGATCTTTCCATTTATTCTATCATCAAGTAAAAGAGTAAAAAGTGCAAACACTGACTATGTGTGCACTGGGGGAGGAGGTGAATTGTGAGCAATATTTCTTCACATCGTTTTATAGAAAAGTTCAATAATCAACTGACCTTTCCCCTTACAAATGTAAACAATCTGCATTCTGCTAAAATGTACCCATTAAGCTTATAGCCTAACTAAAAAGGCTAATTTATGAAACTTCCCTTTTAGAGTTTCCTGGGAAGGAAAGGGTGGGAAAAGAGAGGGATAGGTTATTTTAAGGTAAGTAATTCAACAGGAAGAAAAATGTGTTTGTAGTCCGGTCAGTCTGTATTTTAAAAGATGACCATACTCTATAGCTTTAAATGTGCAGAGGAGGCAATAAGAGTCAGGGTTTCCTTTTCCAATGAGCAGACTTGAAACCCAGAGGAAAATACAAATACATGTACAGGCTATGGCCAGAAAATATAAGCAAATGTGTACAATTTCAAATATTAAGAAAAACAAAACCTCTCAATATTCTTTTAAATGATAATCTGCAGTTTAGAAACATTACTTATGGTTGGCCTGTGACTCTTATCATTCATCTGTAAACTTCCTGCACTCTTTTTTAAGAGGTGCTATACTACTATTACACCAAATATGGAATAATTTATAATTATTATATACTATATAATTAGTATACCCAATGATGTTTTATGTTATGGCAATTCACCTGGGAAAAAGTTCAGAAAGTATACTTGTAAGATCCAAACTTACAATTCGTATTTTTTTTAAAGAACTTTTCTCACATGCTTAAAAAAATTATTCTGTTAATGGAAATTTAAATTTCCCCATTCACAGAATTATTAGATTATTATTTAAAAGATGACTACCATGTAAATAGAATGTTTTGATTCTGGTTCAGAGAAAACTGTTTTAACTATTAAAAAGTTATTTTGCTAATTCCAGATTAACTACGATAATAGGATAGAAATTACCTCCTTAAAATACTTGTGTTAGTTATCACATTTCAATTGATTCTTCCAAACTTACTGCTTCAACTTCTAACAAGCAATCAAGGTAGCTAATTTAAATTTGCTTCTCCTCTCCATACACATCCTTTCTTTTAAAAAAAATATATATATTTTATTGATTTCAGAGAGAAGGGAGAGGGAGAAAGACAGAAACATCAATGAGGAGAATCACTGATCGGCTGCCTCTTGACACCCCACACCTGGCATCGAGCCCATAATCCAGGCATGTGCCCCTGACCAAAATCGAACCCAGGACCCTTCAGTCCGCAGGCCGATGGTCCATCTACTGAGCCAAACCAGCCAGGGCAGACATCTTTTCTTAGAAAAAAAAAAAAAATCAGTCCTAGCTGTTTTGGCTCAGTGAATAGAGAGAGCGTTGGCCTGAAGACCAAAGGGTCTCAGGTTCGATTCCAGTCAAGGGCACGTACTTCGGTTACAGGTTCCTCTCTGGCCTGGGGCCCTGGCCGAGGCATGCAGGA